CTTGCGGTCAGCGTCACTCAGCGCGCCAGCGAGACAGCCGTCACGCGTAAATGAGAGAGGAATTCGAAGCTCCCGACGATCGAAGATCAGGGACGCAGCCGCTTTGCCAAGGTTTCGAGGATGAGGGGGCCAGGCACGTCATGCGTCTCGAACATGACCGCTGGACCAGGCCGATTACCAACTAGATTCACCGGGATGTGTATGGGATATCAAGACCTGGACGACAGCCTACGCGCTGGTCAAACTTCTTCGTGGAAGTCCTGAAAGAATGTTATGACGCTCATCGTGTCCCTCGCCCACAAGGGACCCGCGGGGCAGCTCTACCACGAGGTGCGGACGAGTGGGGACTTTTCTGGAGACCCTTCCAGGGCCCTATGATCAACAGGGGCACAGATGACATAGATGATTGTAAAGGATAATAAATGATAAAGTTTTCGCCGTTGAACAATCCCTTTGCGGCACGCATTCTACTTCCATTCAGAATCGTAGTGGCTTTGCTGTTTGGCCTATACAATGACTTGCGGGGGCCAGCCGATGTACAAGTCAGTGTTTTATCCTCCCAGACGAATCTGGTACCAATTTACCGTCCCCGGAGGGTAGAAGGCTTGGTTGGCCTGGGCGGGAGTCGACCCGGGATTCGAACCCGGGACCGCGCGAGTGGTAAGCGCGCCACTTGTCACTACACCATCTCCGATACAGGTGATAATTACATAAATATTAAGTGTGATTATTCAAACAGTTATTGTATAAAGAAATCCTACAAAGAAAGAACACCACTGTCTTTACAGGACACAAGGCTGCACTCATACCTTGCGACAGCGTCCACCAGCAACCACCAGCGTTTCGAGCGTCTGTCAACGCAGGCGACTGGAAAGTAGAGATATAGATCTGACGAGCTTCAGCTCTACCGCGTCCACCAGCGTTTGCCAACGTTCACTAGCGTCCAGGAGTAGGGAGTATGGGGAAATAGGATGGTATCAGACAGCTGGATTAGGCGTCGCGAATGCATCGCACCGTACAAGCCGAAGAACACAGTTATGCAGAGAACTGGGTACGCTGGTAGACGCTGGCGTTCGCAAGATCGATATCTATACTTTCACAGCCGCTGGCGCTAGCGGGGGCTGAAAATGCTGGTGGTCGCTGGTGGACACTGTTGCAAAGTATGAATGCGGCTCAATATTCACGACCTTGAAAGCATAGAGTGGAAGGAACCGCACTTCAATCGCAACAGTTTCAAAAATGTGGTATCACAGAGCCACGTCCAGCATACTTCCACGTAAACAATTTGCGCGATTTACCGGAAAAGCAAACAAGAGAATGTGCATTGAAACCAATGCACCCAAGGAACAGTGTGCTAGAAAACGCAGGTATTAGGAAGCTATTACAGGAAAAGCAACAGGATATTTAAAGGAGATACAAGGGAAATAGATGCTTTCAGCTTTTGAAATCAAAAATTTATACCGCTGGTTGAATCCTCAGCTGAATAACTACGCTGAAAATTATATGCTCGATGTCCGCTATAAACGATGGAACAACGAAGAATGGTGCGACTGCAACTTGTACGCGACTATCACGCGAGAGATAACAAGGGCGAAGGTGTGATAGCAGAAATGCCACTTGATATCAGATTACGTACCACAAAAACTAGACTTCACAAAGGAAAAGTCGAAAGAATGTTTTCGCACAACGTGAAGTCTTTTCAAAAAGACATGTAAACTACTCTTACAGCCGAAAAACGCTAGAGCGTCTAAACAACCATTCGAGCCAATTGAGGATTTTAATCACCAATAATTGGAAACCAGCTATATAATCATATGCGATTCTGTCGCAGTGGGCTATTGCAGAAAATACCGAGGCACTACATTTTTGTGCAGCAGTTCGTCGGATTACGGTATCCCCGATTTTGCGTATAAGGCTAAATGCCGTTTGGACGCACGCAATTTTGCGTCTCAGGGCACTTGTCAACCGGGAAGCCTCTCCTCTCTTTCATTTTTTCTTCCTCCTTCCTTCTTTTCCTTCCTTCCTTCTCTGATCCCTCCTCCTTTACCTTCTCCCTCCAACTACTGGACTGGTAGATGCCTCGTGAAAATACCCCTGGACCCTCGCGGCGAGAGCAGCAATTTTGGCAGCGAGCTCGTTTAATGAAGTGTCGAGATCAGCAAATCTACTGGAACTCGTATACAGGGGTAATTCAACATCCTGATTACGAATATGACACTCATTCTTGGCGCTGGCGCCAAGAGAGGACACTACGATTACCTCCTGGGCTCAGCCTTAGCAGAGATAATCGTAGTGTCATCCATTAGCGCCAGCGCCAAGAATGAATGTCATATTCGTAATCAGGATGTTGAATTACCCCTATATACAAGTTTTTAGCGGATTTGGTGATTTAGGCACTTTAAAAATGAGCTCGGTGCCAAAATTGCGTGCGTCCAAACGGCATTAGCCCGATTTTGCTCACAGTTTTTCAAAGCTATAGTGAGTTCGCTGTGGACGGTTGGGCGTGTCAGGCGGGATGAGTGTGGCGCGGAGCCAAACCCGCTTCGTTCTCCACCAGTTGTTAAAGCAGCAAGTGATATGACTGTGTTTCTTTGGTCGACTGCGGTGACTTGCAGGGAACATGTACAGTCGTTTTCACTGCAGATGTTGTGGCATGTCAGGGGCTGGGTTTGGCGCAATCTGTTTTCCACTGACTGTTGTCCAATGCCGCTTCAGCAATTGGTGGAGAATCGGCTGGCAGCGCTAGACCTATGCCGCTTAAAGGCCCCCACCCTCCAGGGCACGCCATCGCGTTGTGATCACCTGAAAAACCTGATTCCTGAAAAAAGCGACCCCCCCCCCATGATTCCATCGTCAAACACGACCTCCTCTCCCTACCACTTTCCTAGATTTTCCCAACTTCCTACCACTTTTTCCATTTTTTTCCCAAAAATTTCCAGTTTTTCAGCCAAGAATTTTCCGTCGAGGGGGGGGGAGGGGAGGGTACAGATGTTACGTAAATACACGAAGGGTAGCCGTGTAATTGCACACCGCAAGCGATTACCGTAACCCCAAAACTGTTTGCATTCGCCCATGGAGTGCAAATGAGGTGCTATAGGTTGGTCACTACGTAGGCAAATAATGACCAACATAGTGTACCTTAAATATTAAATGGATCCTACGCTATAATCGCTTCCAAGAAACCACTTCATGCTTCTTCTGCCTTTGTAAAAACGGCGAAGTTTTGCGGTTTTCACTCGTGAAGAGTATTGTTTTTAACAAGTTGTCTGATCAGCCGTTTCACTGACATCGTAGGGTATCCTACTTGTCTTTCAGCACCTGTATCGTTGCGCACTGTTTGTTCTTGGAGGGTTATACATGATTTTCATTCCAATCCATTTTGTATATTGAACTGAAGAAGGCATTTGAATTTTCCTCCGCTACTATGAGGTATCAGCGGCTGGAACAGACCTACAGTCTAACGGCGCCTTCCTCATCTTGCGAGGTCTCGATTTCCTCTGTGGTTCTCAGTTTGGATGCGATTTTCCCTTTTGTAATGCGGGGTCTGATTCATGGCCAAACGTTCTTTCCACGCGGCTAAATCTCTGTCCCAGTGAAGAGAAAGATCACTACCGCAGACACCCATTCAGGGTGCTGCTTTGCTTCTCGCTCGGAAAGGAAGCCACCAACCTTTCGTTTCGAGCGAAAGGCAGCGTCAGCGGCTAGGGATCAAGATGTAGCGAACGCCCGCGTCCACCGCCGTCTAGTCTAGGAGTAGTGAAAGGGATAGTTGAGGAGACATCATGAAAATGCGCCGTGTGCGACCGCACCGTACAACTGCCAAAGCTTAGAATTAAGCTGGCTTGATGTAAGGTGTAGGGCAGCTTTGAGGTGCCGTAGCACGCACCGCAATATCGGATGCCCAACCAGCTGTGCTAACCTCCTGCCATAATCCCCACTCTTGGACCCTCTTGCGCGCGGAGTTCGCTACTTCAAAGATAGCTAGTGTTCGCTGGCCACGTTGATGGAGCTAGTGGTCCCTGGTCATTGAATGGATGTGATTTCATGTTCAGGAAGTCGAACTACGCCTGGAGACCTACTTTACACAAATCGAAGACGGAACTCCAACTTCGAAAACTTAAAGGATAAATTGTCCCAAAAATTGCAGAGTGACGAGAAGCATTGGTCATTTTTCGATCTACTCCCGAAATCCTGTACATCTTCAAACTAATGCGATTAATTCGTTTCATCAATACTACAATTCTTTATTTCTTCAATTCGTCAATTCTTCCGATAAGAGACGGGAAGACCGTACCAGTTACCAAAGTAGAAGTAGTACGGAATGTTTAGCTACGGAATGTTTCCTTGAAAGCTATCTTGATAAAGAACCCATTAATACAATTACCAACCTATCGCACCACAGTTGCACTCATGGGCGAATGCAAACAGATTTGGGGTTACGGTAATCGCCTGATGTGTGCAATTACACGGCTACCCTTCGTGTATTTACGTAACATCGGAGGTACATATACACACAATGTGAAACAGTGAAATTTCTCAGACTTTCCCTAACCTCCTACCAGTTTTTCCGAAAATTCCCGAATAGCGTCCGTTAAACAAGAGAAATCAACTATCAAAAAAATTTTTTCTCAGACCAAATACGACCCCCCTCCCTCGCGGTCAAATACGACCCTTCCCCGTTGTGATCATCACAGCGATGGCGTGCTCTGCCTCCTCCTCCCCCTTTCCCACCCGCAGGAAACAGGACTGTATGCCATACTTCTGAGATGCGTGTTAAGCGCTCTTTTTTTGAAT